TTTTTTTCAGCTCATAATGTGTAATCTTAACCTGTCATTTGTTACTTTTCGAAAATATATTGTTTTGTCAGCGTGTATAGGATAGATGAGTTTTGGTTGAATACTGTGAACTCTATGTAATTTTATATCGATCTTACATCTGAAAGTCGATCTACTGCGATTCCTGAACTTGTTCATATTAATAGGTCAAGCTATTAGCAATTGTTGAGAGTCGAGACTTTGGCTTGTTCTTTTTCAGGATGATGCGATTACTCATTAAACTAGCAGACGAATTCGGTGTTGCTGTAGTAATAACAAATCAGGTATTTGAGGGGGTTGTAAAATCTAAGCGCAGAAATGTTTACCTTCATGTTTCTAACTCGCGCTGAAACAATTTTTAATGCTTAGGTTGTTGCTCAAGTCGACGGAAGTGCCATGTTCCAAATGGATGCCAAGAAACCTATAGGTGGAAATATAATTGCTCACATGAGCACGACAAGGTTCGTGTCTGACAAGATCGAGAGATTGTCAACAAATACATATAAAAGTTACACTTCGGATCATTAGATTGGGCTTGCGCAAAGGTCGTGGCGAGACGAGGATTTGCAAAGTACACCAAAGTCCTAGCTTACCAGAGGCCGAAGCAACATTTGCTATCACTTCAAGCGGAATAGATGATGCACCTGAATGATCATTGTTTGATGTACAAATGTATTTTTGCCAACCGAGTCACTTTCGTGTATTTCCGGAATTATTAATATCTTGATGTTTAAATCATTAACTTCCCATTCCAGTCATTTTATTAAACATGAAGTTTAGTTCCTTTTACCTCTCCTTCACTTCTTTTCTCAACAAACATCCTTCTATCAAAACTTCTTTCATTACTTTATGAGTTTTTGCTGAAATTTTTTCTTCTTCAGAGGCGTTATTTGTTCTCACTTGTTCTATTAATTGAGAGCCATAAAACTGCAAACTACTGTTGTTCTAAGAGGCGAATGTATGACCGTTACCCTACTTTTTTTGGGAATTAGCTGATGTTGAACGGTGTTATAACTATTTGCAATGTTGACTCATTTTGAACTATCTTCTTTTTTCTACCTACCTTTTACTCTTTTTCAAAACGTATCATTCTTGCACGTTGATCAACCGTCCGCTCAAAAGCACGAGAAATCCCTTACACATTTTCTGCATGAACGGAATTGTCCATATGGTTTTAATAATTTTTTAAAATTAAACATAAAAAAAGGCAGCAACATGCATAGGTTCCGTCACTTTCATGTCAGTACAATTTCATAAGTTTGTACTCACTTTCTTTTTAAGCAAACTTTCTTCATTCTTCATTTTGACTTCTCGTTTCATGATGTTCCACTCTTCATTGTTGAATCACTGGATATATTCGAGATTCAACGATTGTATGATTTATGCTAGGAAACTGCGGATGTGTGACCTGTTTTGCGAGAGATTAGCGACGATTGTCGAGATTTTCATTGATCACCAATGTAGGGCATTTTTCCTTATCGATTCCTTCTTTGTTGAATTTTCCCTCTACTAGAGTAGCCAGCTTTTCTATTTTTAATATTTCGCATTGGTTATTTGAGCCGAGTTAGGATTTTAAAACATTTCCTTCATTAGTTACTATTTCTTTTTGATTTTGTACTGTTGAACTAACAAGAGATGGTGTAACTCGGCGTGGCTGCTGATTATGGGATGTGCTTCAGCCAGCTTGATACACTAATTTTGAATCACCCCGTATCTGGAAAACTTTCCTTCGGAAAAATCATGGAAGTATTTTACTGCTACATGTGCATGATGCGTCAGTTAACACCCGAAAGTCTTACCTTCAAACTATATGAAGATGTAAAGAGCTTTCCATGATTTTAGAGTTGTAGTCAGAGAGCCCTAAGTTAGTTGTTTTACGTTCACCTTGAGTTGAAAGGTCAACCAATACCAGTAGAAATTTTGAGCAACTTTTCGTAAAGAGGAATTCTTTTTGAGTTACATTTATAGATTATTATTTCATTGTGACTACGCGACCTAAAATTATTCGTTCTCAAGCTAAACTCCATTATTTTGTTGCATCAGCGTTAAGTAAATACTATTACAACGGCATATTTTGCACCTGGTCCCAAGTTATTGGTTCCGAAAAATTTTGGAGCTCATATTTCGCGTCCCAAAGTATAAGTGCATCTTGTCCATCAACTTCCTGGACATTAACTTCAAAGATTTTTTTGTTGAAAGCGAATAAAGCGTACAACTTTCTTTCCCTTCAGATTAAATTTATGTTTTTGTTGTACATTTTTTTTTTGAATTTGACCGCAGAAGAACTGTATATAAGCGTAAGAAATGCATCTGAGATTCTGCCATGGAGATATTTGAGAGTCAACACATGGTGTCCTAGCGGAGTCCTAGCTGTATCAGACACGATTGTTCTTATCATTACTATTATCTTGTCAATCTTTCATAATGATTTCAGGTCTATTTTGGCCAATGTCAGGTTTGAATGTTGTAAGCAGTAGAAATTTGGCTGCTGTCATTTTCTAGGTTTAACGAAAACTATTCACATGAAGTTTTTCCTCCACCATATCTTCCTAGCGGCAGCATGATCTTTCCCAAGAACCTACCCTGGCATGTGCTGGTTTTTTTTTACAAATTATATTACCGGATTTGCATTGCACTCTTGAACGTTGCTTCAGCTTGATAAGCGAAAGCCATGCGAAGATATCGTCATGGTGACCACATTTCCCATTTCCCTCCATAGCATTTGCTTAGCGTTTTCCCGCATTTGGCCGAAATTTTATCGACTGAAGATATATGTTATTGATCTTATGGAAATTATGCGGAATTTGCTTCCTTTTGATGGTTGGGTTCCAGTATCGGTTGATTTCTTTCAGCGGCCCTTATAGCACGTATTTTACTTAGAAGGTTGCACTTACAGCAAAAGCTATTGATTTTCTCTCTCGGAACGCGAAAACATACCCGTTTACGAAAATACTGGCCTAGTTATCACTTATC